CAGTCAACCTGTAGTAAACGCCCTACTCCATAAGGGGATCTCAAACCCGTATCTATCCAGGTACAATTCGTCAGCTATCAATGTCAACACGGACACAAGCTCTTAATTGATGAATGCCAAACCAATGGGCAAGATCTCAGCTTGTTTGTTTCAATGAGGATCAGTTATCAATGTCAACACGGACACAAGCTCTTAATAGATCAATGCCAAATCATTGAGCACTATATCTTGTGAGCTATCGATATCAATTGGAAGCTCGTAACTATCCATGCCAAACCAATGGGCATGATCTAAACTAGAATTTTCACCGAGGACCAATTATCAATGTCCATAGAGACACAAGCACTTAATTGATCAATGCCAAACAAATTGGTAAGATCTCAGCTCTTATGTTTCAACAAGGACCAACTATTAATGTCAACAAGGTCACAACCTCTTAATCTATCAATGCCAAACCAATGGGCATGATCTTGTGAGCTATTGATATCAATAAGAAGCTTGTAACTATCAATGCCAAACCAATGGGCATGATCTTGTGAGCTATTGATATCAATAAGAAGCTTGTGACTATCAATGCCAAACCAATGGGCATGATCTTGTGAGCTATTGATATCAATAAGAAGCTTGTGACTATCAATGCCAAACCAATGGGCACGTTCCTCGACTTGTTTGTAAAAACAAGGAACAATTACTCCCTCGCAGTAAACAGTACGGAGTCTCTATATCAACTAATGTATTTGAGGTTTATATGTTACAAGTTAAAGTTATTACACTTAATTACAATTCCTACATCGTTATCTATATCACATGATTAAGACAATCATGTTACATATTTACAGCACAGTTAAAAATAGACACAATTAATATGTATGTCATTATATATCTCATGATTACGCTAATCATGTTACATATTGATTTGAAGCACAGTTCAAATGACGACTGGGTTTAACTTAGAGATTTACAAGCGTAGATAGACACTAATGTACAACCTAGTTTAGGTTTACAGATATCGTGTTACACAATATTTATTACATACTGGCTTTCCCTTTCAACTTTCTTTACATTATGGCTAGAGCCTTAACATTTATATCTATCAATTTTTTTTTCATTTTAAACCTGACCCTGATAAATTGATTCAATTCAGACATGAACACCATCAATCTGCATATCAAAGAAAATTACGCAAAATCGAGCAGAGTAAAACTTTGACTCATAGATTGAAAAACATGAAAGATTGAAAAAGCAGGATGCTAGGATAAAAAAATTACCCGTATGAGGTAAGTAATCTGTTACTTATGCTAATGAGCATTTTTTTTCTCTTTTACAAAGATTTAGATGAACAAGAGAAATAAATAATGATTAGTTCGAAGAAGAAATCAAGATTGAGTAAAGCAAAAACATAAAAAGATATTAAACTATTGAGCTCTAACCATAATTCATTTTGTTCTACACTTTTTGCCATATTTATGTGTTTAGTTTTCAAAGCTTACAACTTGAGACGTGCACAAGAATCTCAACAAAATTTAGACTTTGATTCTAAAAAGCCTAATTTTGCGTCTACAACCAGTTTTTGAATATCATTGTGTTTGTAAATATGAAAAACGGTTTTTTTCGGATACAATATATTGTATTAAATGTTGGACCCACGGCGTTATTATGTTATTTAATTACTTCCTAATCTAAAAAATTTATAGATTTGTTATTTTCAGATTAGTTTTGTATTCTGTTTTGTTTATTATTTTGTTCCTGTTTCCGTTTTGTTTTGTTTTCTGTTTTTGTATCATATCCTTCCCTTTATGTTTCCTATTTTTTTATTTAGTTCCTGTGGTGCACAGTGTTTGGTACTCTTTCTCGTTATTATTTAGTTCCTGTTTTTAAAGTCTTCTGTTTTTTTCATTTTTTAGTTCCTGTTTCCTGTTTTGTGTAATACTTAATTTCTGCATTCAATGCTGTTCGGTATTCTGTTTTTGTTCATTTTAATTATTCTGAACCAACATTTGTTAATTTTTATCAATTACTCACTAATTAGATTAGCAACCTTAATGAGAGGTTAATTATCCTTTTAAAACCCCCAAGTACTCCCCCTTCCCCTTCCCCTTTCCCTCTCCCACCCTTTCTCCCTTTCCTTCTCCTTCTTTTACTTCCTTCTACCCCCTACCTTCTGTTTCCTTCTTATCCGGTCCTATATTTTTCTTTCCCCTTACCAAAAATTACCCCTTTTACTTCTCTTTTCTCCTCCCTTATCCACTCTTTTTCTGCCCCCTCCTTATTCATTCCTCATATTTATTCCAGCTTTCCCTCCTTCCTCCTGTAATTAATCGCCCCCCGGACCCCCCATCACCAATTCTATCCTTTTCTTCAAATGGTTCCGAAAATAATTGTCTGGTTATGCATAAAAAATTACTATTGTAAAGTGTATCTATGTAAATTAAGATACTTATCTAAAATTCATCACATTGAAAGTATCTATTTATATTTCCCCTCATAAAAAACATCTATCTATCTATCTATATATCTATCTACATATCTATCTATCTAGTTTTCTTTCTAACTATCCATATATCTATCTTTCTATCTACAGTCTGCAAACTTCACGGTTATTATTGGTTTTGGGTGTATGG